GCCACAAAAAATTATAAATCTTTTTAAACACAAATTGACTTTAACCAGCATATATATTCTTTATAGAAATCCAGAACAAGCGCCTGTAGTCATCTCTACATAAGCATTGTAATTAAAAATAATTTGGAACATATAACATTAACATCCCATAACATTATAAGGGCGTTATTAAGTTGTTAATGCTTAAGAAATCGCAATACTTTTAGTTTTTAAATTAGATAAAGGATCGAATAAGTATGAGTAACTATTTCTAATTTATGCAGAAACTCAGAATTTTAAATATGTTGCACAATTACTTCAGTTGATTATTTTTATTAATTAAATGCTAATATACGTGAATAAATATTAATAGAGTCAAACCAGAGTAACTTAATTATTAATGCTAAAGCCTTCTTTGAAAAGAAGTGTTGGTATAATAGCCATATAAAATTACATTTTTTATACTAATGTGCTTTAAGGGTAATGAAATGAGTTTAATGAACAAATTGATTTTCAGTGACGTCGTTTCTCATTTAGAGTTCCGTGATAAATGAATCTCATTGCGTTGTTCGTAAACTGATGGTTGTTTAATAGTTTAACATTGCTTCAATTAAAGTATAATTTATTAACTTGACGGGACAACATTAAATGAGATTAAATGATAACTTTAATCTGAGTTGGTAAATTTAAGTTGAGGTCGTCTAAAATGGTCTTCGCTTTGAAAAAGCATAAATATGCTTCCATGAAGGTAGCGTTTTTGATTGATGTAACTAATAAAATACTATATTAGCAATACGTTATTAATATACAGTTAATAACATGTACATGACTATTATGCAGGTAGTATTTCCAAAGCGAAATGGAGAGTATTCCTTGGCCAGAAGTTTAGATAAACTGCAGAAAAGCATTAAATACTTATAACGTGCGAAGAAAATTATACAGGGTGATTCTAAATTACTTTTACAAATTAATTGGGTTGATAGTACTCCAAATGAGCAACAATTACCATAGAACATAGAGTCGTATTCCACTCTGAGAGGCAGAAAAGAGGAATATTAGAATTCCTATCTGAACTTACAACAGTGTTGGGAGAGCGAATGAACGAGACCAAATGTTGCACAATCAGTTTAGTGACAAACTCGCAGAGAGTGCACAAAACGTATAAAACTGAAAACTTGGCATTCGAGTGTTAAGTAGAGCTGAGACTTTGATGGCTAACACTAAAATACTCATCTTTGGTTGGCAAGGACTCATCCTCGCAAACGATTGCAACAAGTTAATTATGTAATCAAGGGCTAAATATTATCACTTACTCCAACGTCCGCTGCATGCCGAGATTAGCATGAAAAGCTCATGATGCGTTCCGACTGTCAGAACTTCATGTCTCATACACACCAAAAAAAAAAAAAACTTTCTTGTTATTTCCATAATGGTTTAGTATATAGTGGACTATCACGGACATTTTCGATCTTACTACGAAAGGTCCTCGGTTAAAAATTGTGCTTGCCCTTGCGGTAAAAGAAATGCTAATTTAGAGCACCTGTTATTTAGTTGTTCGTCTAAGAAAAATATTATACAAAGATTTATCCCTAATATTGTTAAATTTAATACTTTAAGTGATTTATGTAAAAATGTACTGTCTAATTAAGATTGTCAAATTCTGTAAAATTTGACAATCTTAATTTTGTCTGTAAACGAAATGGAATTGTATATTAAATGAGTTCAGAATATTCTGTCTGTTTGATTTAAAATTAAACTGTTCATATTTATATTATTAATTTATTCTTTTGTACATATAAGTAACTTGTGTTTTTGCACATTTAAGCAACATGTGTTTTATTTTAAGTCACAAAGTTTGTAATTAAGTATTATTTGTCGGCGCTGCTCACTAGTCTTTAGAGAAGAAGTTTAAATCTGCAGCAGCTAATCTTTAAGGTAATATTACGCGTAATTTTGCTCAGTCAGTCATATAATGGCCTATACAGTAGTTATGGCCTACAGGGAGCAGAATTATTTACCAAAACAGTATTGGAATCATCTGATTTAATTTATTACAGATCCCTCATCTGACCAATCATCAGGCAAGACTGGTTTTTAAGTAAAATCTTAAACAAAATGTTTATTAATTAAACAAACCTATCAATTTATGACACTAATAATATAGATGAAACTTTTATTTAATCCAACAACAGAGAAAAGATTAACGTCCTTTAAAAGCACACCTAAGTAAAATAGATTATCTGTTCTATCACCTTAAGTAGCAAAAAGAAACTTGATTCGACTGCTTAAAGTTACGGTAGGAGTAAAATTTTATTATAGAACAAAAATTAAACGTATTTTCTAAGAAATAACCTTAAGCAAATATTGCCAGTCAAATTAGTTTATAAGAAATCTGATGTGCACACTATATAAGTTACTTATACGGCCTATTAAATTGTGCACATTTTTTACTGCACTTCACTTCATCTTATTTCTTCAAATTAAATATCCCGGTCAATTTTTATCGTATAGGTTAGGTTAATTTGTTTACGGCAAAGCCTCGAGGGCTATCAGCCTAACGGGAGGTATGCCTTTGTGGAGGACGTTTTTAAGGAAAACGGGCTCGTATACACGCTTCCGATATATATATAACGATATATATTCACGATATATATATATGATAAAGGCCCCCGCTCGGCCGCTGGTGGGCCCTTTATCGTACAGGAGTCAAACTTTATATAGTTTAAATTTTTCATAACGAGTATAAAACTTTCCGAGATATAAGTATAAGACCCAGGAGCTGAATTAAAAGTTAGATTTTCGCTATTTGTCGAAAATTATTATTATTATTTTTTCATTTGACGCTCTCAAAACGTGCAAATTTTCGCCATTTAAAACACTTCTGTAATCAGAAATATGTGATTATGGTCAACGATTACTAAAACTAAGGCAGAGTAAGGCACATTATGTATTTAGATGTAGTGATGTAGGGACGTAGAAACGTAGAAATACTAAAGGCGCAGCACGTAAATAGCATAGAACGTAGATCCATATTGAAGAGGAAACTTGGCAGCCAAGTAAGTTTAAATATTCATTTTTATTTCAATTAACATTTGTGACCACAAGCTAATTGGCAGTCCAATCGTGCCTATTCAAGAAGATTTACAATTCTGGTACTGTAGGGAGAGCACAGAGCGGCACAGAGGTAGTAGCCAAAGTGCGCAACTATCCAATATGGAAGATCAACAAGAGAAGGTCTTGGTTTAGGTTAGAAAGGTTTCAGTTCTCAAACTTTTGAGTTCAAGTTCCGAATTAGCTGCGTCATTAGCGTTACGCAAGCCATGTGACATAGATTAATCTAGAAATGACGCAGGCCAGAAAAGTTATTACTACTTTTAGAATACAGAGAGAAATACCCCAAATAAAAGTAAGCAATTAAGAGGCTGTTACCAAATTAAATTATAAAACTGATTTGTATATTTTTTTTATCTTACATACCCAGGGTAAATCTGAACAAGTGGGCAGAACTTTAGGGGTTGATAGAAGGCAGCTATACGAGCAGTATTCGTCATAGAATGTGTGTGTTCGAAACGCAAACGGCGAGTCGCTAAGTGGCATTATAAATAAATGGTATAAAAAGCTTCGGTCCTCGCAGCAAACGGAATTACTTCAAAATGGCTAAGAAAGCCTTTTCGGTCATTTTCATAAAAATGGGAAAGAAAAGTACGCTATCAAACGCTTTAGCAAAATTATAATTTGCACATTTCGCTTTATTTTTATAAATTTTTGACAGTTTAGGAATTTTCCTTAATTACGTAACGAAAAATAAATATTAATATTTTTTAATTCTGCACAAAAGACATGACCTCCTTCAAGAAAGGACGATAAAAAGTAAGCTTTCTGCATTCCAGTGCTTATGTGATTCAAACAGAGTAATCTGAAAAAAATATTTATCAGCCTTTTCTAAAATGCATTTCAAGTACATAAAGATGCAATGATGTATTTATGTGTGAAGTATTATTAGCTATTCCCTCGCAATTTAAATATTTACCCAGAAATATATACGTGCATAATATAAAACAATAATTGCCACGAAATACTTTTATGCTATTAAAACAATAAATTTTTTTCTATATCGAGCAAGTATTCACATTCAAAGTAATTTTAGAACTACTTTCTAATGTCGCATGCTGTATTTATGTGTGAGGTATTATTAGTTTGTAAAGTATATTTTAAATTTTTAACTGTTATATTAATTTAGATCACCTTTGAGAGTTTTCTAGCTTCAGATTACAGCTCCCTACCAGAATGACGTTTTAGTATCGCGTTAAATGCAAATGAGAAGGAGAACAGTATTTAAGTCAAGGTCAACTGACTTGACAGAGAGAGTGACGATTCCTGAGTATTGCGCGTTTGCCTCTGGGCTACGTCCTCTCTAAGCTATTCTTACGCTCGGCCGTATTAGGTGCCTTTTGACAGTTCGCTGGCTAGTTAAATATTATACGCCGACTAGTTTAGAACTGTGTTAGCTTCGGCTAAATCTCTTTAGTTAGTCATTAGTTAGTTCTTATTTCTTACATTTTGATTTTAACCTCAAGTGGAAGCTTTGCTGTACGTTCTAAGAAAGGGGCCACTGTTAATCTGATGTTGAGTGAAATAAAAAAAGTAATTAAATACTTCTTGAGTTTACGTTTCTGTTCTTGGACTTGATTATTCGCTTAGCAGATTAATTTAACAAAATACAAGTGAGGAACTACATAAATTATTAACACGCAATTTAAATATTTACCCAGAAATATATACACGCATAATATAAATTATTAAACAATAATTGTCACGAAATACTTGTATGTTGTTAAAGCAATGAAATTTCTTTTATATAGAGCAAGTATTAACGTTCAATGTAATTTTAGAAATACTTTCTAATGTTGCTGGTAACTTACAACGTGAGCAATCACAGTTACTGAAAGAATGCATTTAGAAACAACAAAACGAGTTTCATAAATTATACTTACGATTTGTAAATATATTAGATTTCTTACCTGTTGTGACTTCTCTGGTGTGATATACATATGGATTACCATCATCATACGTTGGTTTTGAAACTTTTGGAGTTCTGAAAATAAATTAGTGATAAAATTGATTAAAAATGTAATGAAATATGAACAAACAAATTTGTGAATTTATTTATTAGTAGTTACGAGGTAGTATAATGTAAATTTTTAAGTATGTTTGTTGTGATAGAATTTAATTATTGCAAATGCAAATTATTTGCAACAAAGCGTTAATTAAGCTATTTAAGGCAATTAGCATAAAAATGAATAAATGTATAATTTTTTTTTTACTTTTAAAACAAGACGTTTATGCATTCTGAATAATTCGCCTTAAGAGTTATTATTTGTTGTTTTACAAGAAAAACATTTATTTCATCAAACTCAAAAATCATTCTTTGAAAACCGGTTTTGAGACTGTACTATATATCGGTACTAATACAAAACAGCTTTTCAGATGAGACAAACCTACACTTTCAAAGGCTAAGAAGAAGACATGCATTTAAGATCGCTTCGTCGGTGCCAGGACAAAATCACAATTCGTGCTCATTTTTTGGTAAATTTTTAAATAATATAAAAAAACACAATTTCAAATTTTAATCGATTATATATTTTCCTCCATTATCTATAATGTCTCGCCATCTTACATGTAGCTTTTTTATGCCATTGCTGTAGAAAGACTCTGGTTTTGATGCAAAAATACTTGAAAATTCATTGTGTACATCTTGTTTTATAACTTGATATTTTTCCTAGTAAAAAAAAATTGTAAGGCACGAAATAAGTGAAAATCAGTTGGGGCAATATCTGGGGGGTAAGCAGGATGTGGCAAAAGCTCCCATTCACTAATTTTTTGCAGCGTTGTTCGAGCCGTATGCGGTCTAGCGTTATCATGATGAAACAACACTTTCAACACCAATCGTGGGCGTTTTTGGATCCATTCTGAGTTTAGACGGCAAAGTTGTTCACTATAAACTTCTGAATTAATTATTTGATTTGGTTCTAACAGTTCAAAACGTCCTGAACGGGGTTCATCAGCCATGCTGCTTTTCAGAACTTTAAATTTTTTAAAACATTTCTGGGCAGTCCTTACACTAATTGTGCGATCACCATGCACACTATTAATTTTTATCGCTTCAAATCTGGCAGATTCACCACACGAAAATAAAAAATGTAGCACGGCAAGTTTGTACTGATTATCTATATTTATCTTCTATGAGTACTAAAATGCGTTCAAGATTTACGAAAGTTAGGGATGAACTGAATAATATGTTAGTCAAACAATGACAAGTTTCAACAGGTTCAAAATTGTATTGTTTTAGTAAATGCGTCATAGTGAATTCCACGCATACTCTTAATGGGCACGAACTTATGGACTGATCCGATAGTTCTAATGATATCTGTACAATTATTCTCAAATATTTAATTCAAAGATTACTCAGATTTTCGTTTTAGCATAGAAACATTACGAAAACAGAATAGTAAAGAATCCATGCAAGCCGAAAGAGAGGAAAAATAAATGCCATTTCGGGGTTTAGGTCTGATGCAGATAATATAATTAGATACGCTCTTAAGGAAAACATAAATAGCCTAAATTCAGTATCTTGACGTGAGACTAAATAAATGGCTTTTCCTTATATGTAAACATCCAGGGATGAGAGATAAATTATAATAATATATTTTGAATGCCAGGAAAAAAATATAAGACATGTATGGCTATCAGTTTACGATTTGTGAACTGGAAAGGACTGTCACGAGTCTCATCTTGCAAGTAAAAGGTTAGCGAATTCATATAATTACTAATTATATAGTTACGAAATGCCCAGCTGCCGTATGATAGCTTCCCCGCAAAGCGTGTTTTTGCTAGAAAGTGTCAGGGATAGGCAAGGTTGCCAGATTTAGAGCGAAATCGCCCATTTGGCAACATGAACTCATTGCAAAGACCATCTTCTCCAAATTAGTAGAGCCTACCGAACGACAAGGACCTCAGCATTGCAAATCCTTAAAGAACTTCTATCTTTAGATGGCCGAAAGAGAAATTACTCTAAAAAATTTGAAAGGGTTCAGATTTTAAATTATTTCCAAAGGGACTTTTTTTTAACGTTTTGTGTGTTACCTTTATTTATTTAATATCATGTTCTACGTACTCAAACTGTAAAATTTAGTTCGACAGCAATATCACAAATTAATTTTAAAAGGAGCGTATCTTTAGAATTTTCGGTACAGTGTCGCGCGTTGGAGATAATTTTGTTTTCTTTTACACTGTTGCCATTGCTCGCTTTGAAAACATTTAGTATTTTAATCTAAAATTCATGTAAGTGTTACAAAATTTGAAATCGATAATAAAACAAATTTCAATTTCAATTTAGGGCTTCCACATGCCCATATTTTATGGAAGATTAAGTTATTCAAATTTGGATGGCTCTAGTTACCGTTGTTTTATCACAGTGCAAGAAACATACATACATCTATGCAGATTCTTCATTATTTAGTTTCTTTAAATATAATGCAGGGTAATAATATTTGGTGGCAACAATTTGAAAAGTGATACAGTATTTTAACTGTTTCGACGCAAAATGGCAAAACAAAATTAATTATTTTTCAGGGCAAATTGACCCTTTAGACTGTTACGTAGAAAAAATAAAAAAAAAATTACAATTTACTTTTACTACTAAACTACTAAACTTCTTAACTTTCCCTTGGTGTCGAGACAAAAAAAAAAAAAAAAAAAAAAAAATCAAAACTAACAAAACACTCTGATAAGCAAAACTTCGTAACTCTTTAATGTTTTTGTTGAATACGACACTTTCTTTAAGTTACACAAAATTCACTTAAAACCATCAACTCAGAAAAATAGAGGTTTACTTATCAACTCTCAAGTCTTTAGACCCAACAATGAAAAGACAATGTCCTTCCTGGTGTTTTGGGAAAAATCAAAGATTATTTATCAAAATAAAATGTTAAAATGCATTTCCGCAACAATTTTGTCCATCTGCTATCTCTCACTAAATTAAAGCTAGGTCCACTAACTTCCCTAAAACGTATAAATTTCAATACACTCTAGAGATGGCTCCAAAACTCTTCACATTTCAATAAAACACCGAACTCTTCTAAACACCAGGGGAAGATAAATCTCCCACTAAAGAAGTCTAATCCACCAGTTCAAATAAATTAAGTAGGCCGCGATTATATAGTGTTGAGCACATTGCGTTGTGGCCGCAATAGGACAATGTGGAAAGAGTAGAGTCGTATCTCCTTATGTTCTGTTGTCCCTCTCCTGCTGTTATCCTCAGAGGAACTTCGAAATAAAAGGGATTTTAAAGTTAAAAATGTTACTACACAGCGTATAGTACTGGAACTATGAGAAAATTCCCGTTGTGCCTTGAACATACTTCAGTATCGGTTTTCCTGACAACGAAGATGTTTTGGCCGTTATTGTTTCGACGATATGTGACTGGATCCGGGCAGCTCCCCGAGTCCTTCCGACTTGTGTATGGGGATTCTGTGAATCAATTTTTGTTTCCTCTAGTTTTGTTATTTTCTACTAGTATTTTGTCTAAATAGAGGGAGTGAATTTATTATTTTTTAATGTTTGATGGTCATGTTTATTTAATTTCGATATGTCTTAAAATAAATATTTCTGAAAATAAATATTTTTATTATATTATATATTAAAATAAATATTTCTGAAAAGAAATTTTCAGTGAAGTAATTGTAATTTCAGTATTATATCAAGGAATTTAATATTTACTAAATGTCAGAACATAACTTGTTCCCTTTTCTAAATGTGAAATTATTAATTAATGATTTGCAGTATTCATACTCGCAATGAAAGATAAGCGAACAAATGAGAAATAATGAGTAAATTTTTAGATTATGTTTTGTAGGGGTAGTTTGGCCAGCTAGTTTAAATTATAACGTTTGCAATCTTTAATAAATGTGTCTATTGGTTTAATTATTGAATGTTTTATTTTGAGGTTTATTTGTGGTCTAGTGTAGGTCACTCATGTGATCCTTACGGAAAACATGGTTACTTCATTTCGAACTTGGGTAATCTTATTGCGGTAGTAGAAGATCTGAATTAGATTTATTTTAGTGAGAGATAGCAGATTGATGATTTTGTTGAGGAAGCGCATTTCGCATTTTGCTCTGATAAATAATCTTAGAGTCTACCAAAACACCAGGGAGGATAATTTCTTTTCATTCTTTGATTTAATAACTTGGGAGTTGATATGTTAAACTTTGTTTTTCTGAGTGAAGATATAATAAAGCATCCAAGTGCGCATAAAAAAACAAACAAACAAACAAACAAACAAAAACAAAAACAAAAAACTAGTGAACATTTTGAACTTTTGTAACACAACCTATGTTTAAACTTCAGTATTAGCTTATAAATACTTTAAGAGTTATTCATAAAACTCATTTATATCAGTTTCTAGCTTCTGAAGCCACTTTTCGGACTTCTCAAGGTTTTCTAATGAGTGTTGATTGACATTCCCTTTCACTTGCTGCATTAAATATTCCTTTGATTTACTCGTTCTTATCTTTATTTAAATTATTACATTTGTGTTTATTTAATAATTTTGGATATGTTCATCCACAGTTGGTTTCTTTAATAGAAAATTAATGATATGACTTAGTGTAGTTAGTATTAAATATCATTCGATCTTCGTAACACATAAGATTTTTTTCAATGCCTGTAAATTGGTTTTACCGCACGCATAGTGTATCAGCAAGGAAACTCATTCAATATATTAAACTGATATTGTGAACATTGGATAACATGATGCTCTTAACTTATAGAAAACTTTGATTGAATTTTTTTGGAAATTGAACTTATATGCTTGTATACTTTAATATAGTTGAGTTTGCGTTTTTAAATCAGTACAATGTATTAACTAATTCTTATGTAGGTATTATTTCAGGTATACTTCACCTTGAGATATACACATTTTTGAAACAATGCTATACTGTTGAGTTTTCATTATTAAATTATTAAAACCCGTAGAAGAGTTAAAATATTACATTCTTCTTGAAAATCTCTGTTGTGATAGTATATCATTTGTAT